TGCTGGATTTTAACGTTTAATACACTTACTTGAGTTTCCGCTGCCTCCTTGAAAAAGAAGAACGCAGGTCGATTACTACGGCGGGCATTAAAGGTGGTCTGTGCGGTGCACGGGCACGCAGGACGCGAGCGTGCAAGTGTGGGCATGTCGGTGCCAAGCAAGTCCTCCAGCCGCCCTGGACACCTCCACCAAGCCTTAACGGCCCCACTGCTGTCTAGGCAACGCGGAGAAACTGAGGCAGGCCTGCCTTCCTCTTGGGCGTTGGGTAAGCTACCATCACACTATTGGGGCTTTGGGCAAAGGAAGCGGAAGCCTATTCCAGGACCGCCCCTCCATGAGTGTGGGGCGAGGGCCCCCCAGCCGGGTGCCTCTGGTTCTCATTCCAGTAGTGTGGTGCAAGCCCCGCGCTTCGGAACTAGGCATCAGGGAAGGGGGTGCTCTTGGTGACACCCACCTCCTCATTGCCACAACTGTGACACCCGCCACTAAACGGAGCCACCCCAGATCCCAACACCAAGCCGCAACGGGGGGCGGGGCGGTGAGCTGTCTTCCCACCCACACAACCCCACTTTTAGAGATAATCGGTTAACCGGTTTCACACGTACACATACATTGCGACGCATCCTGATGCTTTGCATCGAGGCATTAAAAGCACTTTATGGGACATCATCGCTGTTACTTGGGTGAAGTCAGCCTGAAAGGGAGTATCTTACGCTTGACCAGACCGCTGGCCAAGTGAAGGTCTCGGGTTACTGCCCCCGCGCCGCACCCCGTTTGGGACTTAGGACGGTGAACTGTGCACGGGGTTCTCGTTCTCTTGCCTCCGCGCGCTCGGGTATGGGACTGGCTGCTGCCCGCACCTGCGCGGAGCTTGACCCGCTTGAAGCTGCACCACCACCAAAGAACAGTGAATCTTCCTTGAGAGTCCACCTTTGGCCCCCCCTACCCCCCGAAACGCGAACGGCTTTCGCTCAGCCACCTTTTTGTCACGTCTCTTTCCCACCTTTCCCCCTATAAAGCCCAGCAAACTTAACCACTGTTCAAAGCTGCTAGTTGGAGAGCTTAGGGCAGAGCCGCAGCAGGTGGGCGGGGCGGACAGCGCTGGGGCGAGGCATTGGTGAGTGGGCGGGGCCGGAAGCCGCTCAGCTCCAGAGGCGCTGGCCCGAGTTAAGTGAGTGGAGGGTCGTGGCAGATTCCCCAGGGTCTGGCCCGCTCCTGTACCCCAGCTCCCGCTCACCGCCTCGACTCCGCGGCGTTACACTCCTGCCGACAGCCTGGCCACTGTTCCTGGAGTTCGAACTCATGTTCTCCGGGGTTCGGGCAACGCTTTTTTTCATTGTCCCGGGGCCCTTGAACTGGGCAGTTCCCGAAGTCCTCACCTCCGCCCACTTGCCCAGCTGCGGGCTTTGTTCCTCGGCATCGGGGGAGGAGGAAGCTGAGGAGAATTGGGGAACTAGCGCCTCGCTTGGGAGAAAAGGGCCCAGTGAGCGAACACTGGGGAAAAGAAACGTTCTCTACTGTTCCTTAAATGTTGTTCTAATTGCCTGAAAAGATTTCCTTAACCCGTTTGTTTTTAAAGTCGCACGGCAAAGATTTTCTTAAAATTTGTTTAAAGGTACCACAGCTGTTAGTTTACGTTGGAGGATACGTTTATTCTCTTTTCTGTTGGTCCGAAGGCAGTTGGCAGGACACCTACTGAGACCTTCCCAAACGGTGTGGGGATGTGCTCTCGCCGGCAGCCCGCCCGACGCCCTCCTGCCCGGGGCCCGGCGCGCCACTTCTCAGCCCCGGCTCCTAGAGAGCTCACATCTGCGCTCACTACTGCGGCTTCGAGGCGTCCGCTCCGCAGCTGACAGTCTGGGGCCCTGGGGCGCATCCTGCGGGGGCCAGAGGCCAAAGTGGGGAGCGGACTATGGGCGCGCTTTTCCAGCTCTTCCCTTTGAGAGCTGAGGTGGCCGCTTAGTGGGCTCTTTGGTTGCGGCAATGTCCAGAAGATACCCCTGCCGCCCTAAGGCAAGGATGTGGGTGCGGCTTTTCCTGCCGGCTGGGGTTAAGGAATCTGCACTGGTGGGAGCACTTCCTGTCAGGTGTCAGCCGCTGCTGGCTTGGAGAAATGAAGAACGTGAAGGAGCAGGACCGAGCAGCAGCACAGGTCGATTCTGCAAGGCGCCAACAGTTACAGGCCATTCTGCCCTGGTATGCTCCAAAAGATCTCGGGTCACCCACTGCCAAATGGTGTTGGGACAGGATCATCCAGGCCCTTCCTCCTGCTCAACTGCCCAACACTCCCCATCCCATCTCGCCCCCTAGATGTAGGGTCCGTAGTCCCCTCACCCACGCAGCTGCGTTGTCTCCCCTTTGTAACAGACCTGAGACTTTAGGAAGTCCCTAGAGGAGGTGCACACAAGTCTCTCCCCAATTAATTGAGAGAGAATAAGAATATTATTGTCACTTCAAAAATTGATCTCTGCTTGCCTGAACTGTCAGGCTATGCACTTTCCCCATCCCCTTTCAATTTGAAGTTGGTCAAAGAGCAATGCCCAAAAGTATGAACAGGGTGAGAATTGAAATTCTAGCGCCAGGAAAGGAACTGGTTTTCCTGATTTACAGTATTTTCTGATCCTCGGATTCTAGCATCACCGTGGTGGCATTTAA